GTTTGCCTGACCTGGCTTAGGATTCCTGGATCTCTGAGCCTGCCTGTTCCTATGCTCATCGGTTTTCCTGACCTGGCTTAGGATTCCTGGATCTCCGAGCCTGCCTATTCCTGTTCTCATCCGTTTCCCTGAACTGGCTTCGGACCCCTGCTTGTTCTCCAGGGCTGCTGGGACACTCTGAGCGGCACCTGCCCCATCTTGTTCCCAATCTTGGTAGTCTAAACCAGATTAGTGACTCGCATGTTCTTATTATCCTCTGTCATGTTATCTTGGTCACTAACCTGTGTTTCCTCTTTCCAGGATTTCCTGCCTCAGATGTCCTCGCCGCAGCAACTGCAGCTCTGTTCCACCAGTTTTTTAATAAACGCTCTTTGATTAATCCCACTGTCTGTCTTGCCTGAAAACTGGGTCCTCCGTTCTGAGTCGTGACAGATTTAATGCCCAACAATGTGAAAAAATGGCTGTTTCCTTTCATGCGGTGCATGAAAATGTCTAATTGCAAATGCAAATTTCAAAGCTGTAAACCCAGTGTCAGACATGTTCACAATGCAGTCAACTCTGCAACTTAAGTCACCTATTTACAAGCCACCCGCTGCTTCGATGTCAGTCATGCTCAAAGCACTTGTCCTGAGGAACTAGTTACACACCGACTTACAGACATAGAAGCAAAAAATGGCTCATGGTTGAATGCTTTTCAGGCTGTCCAGAAGGCCCCCAATGATGAAACCCCTATTAGTTCAGATCTGGAGTCAAATCAACACACCATGAGATGTGTTCTGCAGATTTATTCTTAAACTCCCCTCTTCGTAAAGTATGTGCAAACCAGGCCCCGGATTTGGCAGCAGTTAATGTGCAGGCATGTGTATGTCCCGTGCAGTCATGTCAACAGAGCAATCATTCATGTGGAGGACAGTATACACTTGGAAGGCTTAGCTCTGCCGGCATGTGATGATGGACAAGCCTTTCAGGGAATAAGTGAGCAATGGAGGGGCTAAACAAAAAAAGCAAAGAAATCATTTTTTCAATGTATTTTGCTGATAAGAAAGCAAAGAAAGCTGAAGAGTTACAAAAAAGGAAGATAGGCTTGGCTGAATGTCTGCTTTGTTGGGCAAAGAACCATGGATCTCCACCTGAATGGGATTAAACGTCCCCATTTGCCCACACTCATATGCTTCCCCCATCTTCCCAACCCCCTTTCTGGTGGCTTAAAGGACAGGTACCGGAAACACTTATTCATTAACAACCTTGAGCTTGTTAGTCTGAGTGAAGCACTCTTCAGAATGTAAAGAGGGGAGATGGGGAGAGAGCTCAAGAGTGCCTGGATGTGTGTGCAGATGTGTTTGTAAGGAAACAAGAGGTAAAAAGGGTCAAAGGGTGAGGCAGGGCCGATAGGAGGGGGGCGGCATGTTAGCTTGGTGACCTGGGGTCCTCTAACAGATGAGGGGAGTGTTGGTGAAAGAGATCTTAACAACATTACAGCTCAGTGAACCATGTCTCTTAGAAACAAGCTATGGGTGGGCACATACATTTTCAGGATATCCGGTGCTTTTAGAAGAATATTAAGTATCTTTCTAAAGAAGCAATAATGCATGAAGCTTTTCAAATTCAGTCAAATGTTTTTGTTAAAAGCGCAAACTTGATTAAATTGAATCTATGAATGATTTAATCTCAGTATAAATGTAGATGTTATGTGAATTAATTAGGGGTTTGTTAGAAAACTGTAATAAACAAACAGAACAGAGGCCATGGATGAAGCATTGAGGATATTTAATAATTATTTTAAAATTCTGAGCTTTGAAACTTCACACATTACTGTTCAACACATTACACAGTCACAAACCCTTCAAGACAAGACCAACCTAAACTTAAGAGTCAGGCAAGGAGAGCAATACTCAGAGAAGCAACCAAGAGGCCCGTTGTAACAGGAGAGATCTAGAGCTGTTGTGCACTCCTTAGATCTGGTCTTTAGGAGAGAAAAGATGAAAAAATCTTTGCATAAAGAAAACTGGAAGTAGTCAACCTACAGTAGTCTTAGACAAGACCCAGAAAACTTGTGGAGGAAGGGGCTCAAAAAAGTTCAGCTAAAACTCTGTAACTGGTCTCCACAGAAACACTTTTTGTGCATATTACCTTGAACACACAATTCTGGATGGCAAAACACGGTGGTGACCTAATCCTGCTGTGGGAATGGGACATGGAGGCCAGTCAGAGTTAATGGGATACAGCTAAATATATGGCATCTATCTCTGAAAAATGCGCTTGCAGGTTTCCAAAAACTTCAAGGTTTACCTTTTAGGTGGACAATGACACTTCACATACTGCCAGAGCTACAGGGAATTGCTTAGATCATGAGCCCAATGAGTGGGCTGCCCTCTGTCATCTCTGCTGTTTGAATTTGATGTTGTCCAGTTGGCCTCATCAAACCAGGACTTTTGGGGATGGGATGAGGATCATCACCTCCAAATCCGAGGCCATGGTTCTCCACCGGACAAAGGTGGACTCCCCTCTTCAGGTCAGTGGAGAGTCCTTGTCTTAAGTGAAGGAGTTCAAGTATCTCGGGGTCTTGCTCACAAGTGAGGGACAGATGGAGTGTGAGATAAATAGTTGGATTGGTGCGGCATAGACAGTGATGCGGTCACTGTATCGGACTCTCGTGGTGAAGAGGTAGCTGAGATGGGGGGCAAAGCTCTCGATTTACTGATTGATCTACATTGCCAACCTCACCTATGGTCATGAGATTTGGGTAATGAATGAAAGGACAAGATTGCAAATACAAGTGGTCGAAATTAGTTTCCTTCGTAGGGTAGCTGGGTGCCCCATTCGAGATCGGGTGAGGAGCTTAGTTACCCAGGAGAAGCTTGGGATAGATTCGTTGCTACAGTACAACATGTCGAAAGGAGCCAGCTGAGGTAGCTCAGGCATCTGCTCCGGATGCCTGCTGATCGCCTCCCTCGGGAGGTGTTCCAGGCATGTCCTATTGGGAGGAGGCCTTGTGGAAGGCCCAAGACACGCTGGAGGGACATTTCACAATCACAATCATTTTCACAAAAATGCACCAGTTTGCGTTATTGCATTACATAATACCCCAAAAAATACATTGAAGTCTGTGGTTTCACATATAACAAAATACTCAAGACTCTTCAGGTATTGGAATAAGGCAGTTACCGGTAATCAACTTTTCTCCTCCATATTATTCACAGCCATCTGTATTTGTATCCTGCTGCATTACCAACTCTGTATTTGACTTCCACCTTTGCTCCTGGCTCTCATGAAACCACAGCATAAAAAAGTCCAGTCTTGTTAGACAAGTTCAATACATGATCCAAAACATCCCAGCGCTGAGGTCTGCAAACACATGTGGCCATTTCAAAGACAGCAGACAGGCTTTAAAAGATAATTGCCTGTCTACTACCTTGTTCTTAATGAAAGCAATGTTTTACAAACTAATGCACATTTGTGTCTTAATCATGATGCTTGCTTATAATTCAGCTTCTCAAAATCACTTTTTTGCCACCCAAGCAGCTGACAAAGCCCTCCTTGCTGCTCCATCGGTGCAGTGAGCTCAGGACCACATGCCCTTTTTCATTACTCTGAACAGGCCAGCTGTATTGTAACTACAACCAATTTCCTTGCAGTCTATAAAGCTGTCAATCAAAATCATACGGGAATAGGGAGTGGAGGAGGGAGCTGCAGGGGCGGAGCTGGGTGGGCTGTAGGCCAGGAGACCAGATGTCAAGTTAGAGGATAGAGATAGGAAAAGGGGGTCAATAAACCAGAGCATTCTTTTTAAATTTCCATTTATTAAAGTTATGAACAAAAAAGACAAATAAGTTATATTTTCATTTGTTAGAATTCTATCAGTGTTTGAACATTAATGTTTATAGAGCTAGTACAAAATTCCTCCTTTCATGGCTAGCTTCTGATAAACCCATAGCCGTCTCTCTCCAAGAATGGGAACATAATACTGAAGGGGAGGCGGCCATGTTGTCTCACACAACAGTCAGCAATGAAAGTGTGCACCTTAAGGCTTTTTTTCTTTTTTTTGTCGTCCTTTCTTAGGGTATAACATTACATATAAACTCTTTAGAAATATACTTCTGTCAAATACCTTGACAACTACTATGTACACTACAAAAATAAATTTTCATATAAATAAATTATATGGCATACATTTATCTTTGTAACTGAAAACAGCATAAATCCACGCCAACCATAACCCCAGAAAATGGCAGTCTGAAAAAGTCTGATTTTTTTTTCCTTTTAAAATCCTCTAAGAGCTATGATGAGATCTGTTGTGTACAAAACAAAACAATGTTATATACTCTTTCTTCCTATTTAACATTAGTAAGCACTTTATACAGATCAACTCCATTTATGTAAAAAACATTACTGTAATAGTGTTTTTTTTTCAATAAACATGAAAATCCCTGCATTTTGTTATCCACTGGCATTTTAACATTAAAAACGACAGATTTTTATATTACAAAAATATAAATATTGAAATTGAACACAACAAAGTACAAACAGAGAAATGAATAAAATAGTTGCCAGCTATGATTCTCTCCACTGCTGCCAATGTGACAAATGGGAGAAAAAAATAAAAATAAAACACACAAACAAAACCAAAAACAGCGAAAGAAAGTAACCTATTTCAGGCAAGCAGCTGACGTACAGTGGCTCTCGAAATTGTTATCAACCCTGTTGAAATGTTTGTTCTTTTGTGACGTAAGAGATTACACACACACACACACATATATATATATATATATATATATATATATATATATGTGTGTGTGTGTGTGTGTGTGTGTGTACATGCACACACACACATTACATTTAAGCAATCCAAGGATTTTTTTTTTCCTCATCTGCCTCCTATAGCTAAAGCTGGTTTGCAGAGAGGTTACAAAGTATAGAAATATTTCCAAAGTCTCAAAGCAAAATTCAGGAGAAGTGTATTAAAAAAAAGCCTGTCTGGCTAAATTCTGGTGGTGGAGGCATCATGTTCCTGGGTTAGATTTTTGAGGGTTTTTCTTTGTTTTGTTTTTTTTTGTAAACCAAGGTAGATAACCTTCCAAATTCTAAAGAGGCCAATTTTGGCCCTCAACCTGCTAGAAAGATGAGGATTGAATCGAATCTATTTTATTTTTTTTCATCCGACCACATATTTAAATTTTTTGAAATGAAATTAAGTGTATTTGAATTGGCTTGCCAGAGATCAGAATGACAAAAAAAAAAAAATCTCCAGGATTATCAGAAAGGAGAAAAATACTTGTGTGATGTGATATGTGCTACATGCACAACAATGGCTAGGTAAAGATAGGCGGATGCGAAAAAGTTCCTGCCAAAGAGTACTGGATAATAGTTAAAAAATAGTTAGCATAGTTTTAACCAGGAAGGTTATTGCACTGTGCTTTTTAACCTACATGCATATTAGTTTGTTGTTAAGCTTAACTGTTTAGAATGTATGCCACATTATGAGGACATTTTCAAAGGATATGTTGTGCGGAAATCTATTTTTCTAGATATGAAAAAACAGTCATTTTAACAGGGTGTGTAGAGCTTTTGAACCACCATAGCTTGAATAGGAAGAAAAAAGACCTGCAAGTTTTTGAAAGTGTAAGAAAATATTGTTGTAGATGGAGACCAAAGGTTACAGGTAGGCCTGCTGGAACTGACACCTGCAGGCATAAACTGGTCATAGCTGGTGAAGAGAGGGGCCGGTGGGGTACACAAAACTGACCCAACATGTCCCCTCCCCACCAACCCACCCATAAGGTTCAGGCTTGTGCAATTTAGCAGCTGAAAGGAGATGTCCAATTAGTGCCATGGGCTTATGCGGTGGATTTTTAAGAGCTGAGGTCAGTGGGGACAGCTGTGGCCAAACTAGGACCAGTTGTCTTTTTTTTACTGTCAGTAAAAAATCAAATTAAATTTAAAAAAGGGGGAGGGGCTCAGATGTAGGCAGAGGCATGGTGTGATGACAAAAACTAATAGCACAACACACATAAAGCAAGATATGAGGCCTTATTGGTCATAGCCTTTTGCAGGCTGCATGGTCTAGCTTATTGGATGGCCAGAAAGAGCTACTGTACTTCAAGCGAGATATATTCCTGTGAATGAAACAGTCAAGTGCCATTTTGAATCGGGTCATACAGTATACGGTCTGATCTTTAGCTTATCCACAACACCAAGCCGCTTTATAAGGTGCAGAGGTAGCACCGTTCTTTTTTTTTTCCTGTCGTTTTTTTTTTTTTTGACCCTGTTCCAGAACCAGTAACAGTAAGGTCCCCGTAAAAGGTAAAAGTTAATTTCTGAGGTGGGTTCTGAGACTGCTCAGAACCTGTTTGAGCCTGCCAGGGTTTTTCAAAATCATAAAAACCTCTTACAGTAAAATACAACCAGCCTAACAGACAGTGATACAAAGCTGAGTGCAGAAACAGGTTTCAAGGCTGTAAATAAAAATAAAACAAAGACAAAAAAAAACAACAAAAAAATAAAACTTCAGATGTCTTCATACCAAATGATTTTAAATAGCACGCATAGCGTGTTGCGTTAAAACAGTAATTCTTTCATATCTACCACAGGTTTGTGATAAAATTATTATTTTTTTATAGTTTTACAAGCGTACCTTTATACAATGTTTAAAAACACAAAGACAGATGTATCATAGCTTTGTCGGATGATTCTAACAGTTTCCCTCATGTTTTAAATGAGCATAAATGTTAGTTTGAATCTGAGGATGTATCTGGTAAAATGGAGCCGTTTGACATGACACAACCCAACACTCATACGCGCACACATTCATATAACTAGACAGATCACTTGCTCTGTTTGAAGAGAGATTTGCATAGTGTTAAAATGTACATCAGTATTAAAATAAAAATAAAATCTGAGCAGCAACTGTGAATGCTGACAGGTATGTTTGTCCTACATTGAGCTTCCTATTGGCACAGATCCACAGATAAGTGAACAGTAATCAGAGCACACACACACACTTACAAAATGTACAAAAACAGCTCCAGTCTATAAACAAGCAGGAGTTTTATAGCTCCTGAAAATTATACTTACTATTTGTTTATATGTACATATGTATACATCTTTTAAATATAGATAAAAATATCTAAAACAATAGTCCGCTGTGTTACAGTAACATTGAGCACCATTATGGCCACACTGGCAAGCTTTCACGCTACACGGGGTCAGAGGTGGGGCTGTGCCAAGCTGGGTCAGCTGCTTAGTAAGACAGGGGAGTCCATCTTTGGCCAAAGTGCTTAACTTCTCTGGATCTGAGAAAAAAACATTAACAATATACTGTAAGATTATGAAGGTGAATTGTTAGAATTGGAAATGCACAGAGAAGGTGACCCAAATCGGGTTATTTTACGATATACCTCCCAACTAGGGATAAACTGCTCAAACACAGAAAATCTGAGTTTTTGTTCAAACAGTGAAAGACTCCAAGTCAAAGATTTAATGTAACAACATGCATTTTCAGATTTTGTCACTTTAATCTTAACTTGGAGAGTTTTGAAGCCTGCACAAACAAGGTGCAATGTATTTAGGTCTTTTAGTATTTTTAGGCATTCTACCACAGTGATGCGTGTCAACTTTCTGACTTTTAAACTGCCATTTTATTTTTGTCTGGTACTTTTTTGCTTTTATTCATTTATTATTATTATTATTATTGCTGTTTTGTAGATTGTTTTGGTATTTACTAGTTTTAAAAATAAAATACACTTAATAACCTTTCCAGAATTAGCATTCAGGTAAGGGATCTATGAACAGATAACTACAGTACCTTGTTTCCAATTAAAGTAACATTAAGTGATACGCTGATCATCATAGCATTTCCCTAGGTTAAAAAAACAAAAATTATTATTATTTTTTTTTACAGAAGTTAAAATTTTAGCTGTTATTAGTGTTTACCATAATAATCATAGGAGGCATTACAAAAAGTTGCAACATCTGGGTGCATTCTCCAGAAACGTCAAAATTTTTTACTTAAATTGGATTGGCTTGGTTTTGATTGACTTTTTCACAATGTTGCCCATGAAATACTTTCATTTGATAACATAATATATTTTTTGGTTCTTACATTATTGCTTTAAGGTTTCCTTCAGCAACACTTCTACACTAAAGGTTGTGGATACAACCCCTTAGTAGTATTGAGGCATGGTGTGTTGACTAAATGGATTCCTACTGATTCCATTTAATTGTCAATTTCTGTATGCATTTCCAGTATTACTATGTTATGCTGCACCTGAAATTAAATTAGTTGTAAATATGAAACCAATAAGCCAATGGGCCTTCAGAAGGAGCCCGAGTCTCACCTCAGCTAGCTCGTCTACCACAGTTCCTCTCAGCTGCCTCTAATTCCAAGTCCTGGAGCTCCACGGCCTCCACCTTGGCCTCTCTAGTCCCTGTGTGGGAGTACAGAGGCACATGGGGGTCTTGGAAAGCTGGCTCTGGCTCCTTTGGACCTGATGGGCAGTAACTGTCTGTTGCAGTGTACTCTGGGAAGGAGGAAACTGGACCTTGGGCAGAGAATGGGGCAGGGTGAACGGCTACAGTGACTGATGCTGATGCCGTCACCGTGGTGATGGGCTGACAAAAAGTAGCGTTGTTGACGTGTTGGTGCGGGAGATGGTGATGATGTTGTTGGTGATGATGAGGCTGCGAGTTGTGGTAAGAGTAGCTACTGTGGCCAGCTGAGTGTTCTCTGTAGCTGCGAGAGCCATGATGGCCCCCAGCCTCAGTAGCAGTTTCAAAAGCGTCCATGCGCGGATGGGCCGGGGGCGAGGCCTGCCAGTGCTGCTGGCCCCTTGGGTCCCTGCTGCAGTTTCGCTGAGTAATGCCATGTTGGAGCCCAGAATCACAACCCTGAGAGGGAACAAACTGTAATAAAAAAACAATTAGATACTCATTTCAAAAATCAAACAGATCCAGAGAAAAGCTGTAGCTATTCCTTACTGAAGGCATATTATAGGCAGGGGGGTCAGGCTGCTGTCTGGGTGAAGGCCGTTGTCCTGACCCCGTTCTCCTCTCCTCCTCTGTCCGGGCCACTCTACCCCTGCTGGTCCAGTGGTCATAGTGCTGCTCCTCTCTTTGAGTTTGTCCACTGTGCATGCAGCGGTTGTAGTTCTGCACCTCTTGGCTTATTCCAGACACTGTGGCATTAGAGCTGTACTCTGAATCTGATGAGTCTGTGGCAGCACCAGAGTTTGTGGCTGGTCCAGAAGTCTGGTGAGGACGGACCGAGAAATGGACCACTCGAGGAGGGGCCTCTGGGCAGGGGGTAGGTAACCGACTACTGCCATCAGCTGGTGAAACCTACCCAAAGAGAGGATGGAAAGGAATGAAGCAATCAGTTTCTGGACAGCATTTAGTCAATTTCTATTACTAAAACCACAGTTGTCCTGAACAATAAAGAATTAAGTCTAATAAGGTTTTAGTTGATTTTTAAAAGTACCTTGTTTAAAAAAGGTCTCCAATATACATATATATGTCCCACAATGCATCATATCATTAGTGATAATAGACTTTTTCTGGTGAAGGGAAATCATAAACTGTCATTTTGAGCCTAAGATAAGGAGGAGAGTTCTTAACACTAAATAAACCAAATTAACTGACAGCACTAATTTACATTAGACAAAGAAGCCCTTGACACTTGAGAATACAGGGGGCGAGGCTAGCCATTTAGACACCAATGATGCTAAAATTGTAATGGAAACACTGGTATGGTAAAGGAACGACTGAACTTAAGAGGACTAAACTAACTTGTTTTGGTAAGACTGTCAGGATGGTAGGACTGACACAAAGTCCCTAAGTTGACAAATGAGCAGAGACTCTTATGGATAAAACTAATATATGTTTCATTTCTACCTTTAATATCAGTTATGACCTTCAGCGCCACCTAAACATAACATTGTTTACAACTTGCCGAAAAGTGTTGTTATTCCAAATGTTACAAGTTACTTTTACTGGGACTTAAAGGCTTAGGCCAACTCAGGAATATTGGTCCTATTAAATAATCTCTTTGTAAATCATTAAACTTCATGACTTGTTCATCCAAAGAGCATGTCTCTACTCCGTTAGAATCCAGAGGTTGAGTGCTTTAACACCACTGCTGGTAACTTTCTTCACTGTACCCTGAGATGTAAGGCTTGACTGTAGCATTCATTAAAGAGCTCCCCTGAGAGATTTAGCTACATCGTGTTGCTGTAAATCTCGATCTCATGATGTTATGCCATGGTGTCATCAATGCATAACATAATGCATTGATGACACCACTAACAGATTATATGGGGGTATCCGGGAACAATGGCTTTACATGACTGGTGGCCTCTATCATGGTACCACATTTGGTTGCCTTTATTTAAAAAAATATTAGGATTTTAAATATCTGTCACTAGGGAATTAATTGGAACAAATTAAGCTAATGACATTGATGGGTAACTAAATAATTTTGGAAATAGAGTGTATTTTTTTTTTTAACAAAAAAAAAAAAAGCTGACTAAAAATGCCTTAATCGCAAGTTCTCATGAAACTATAGTTTTTGATCCAGTTTTTGAAGCTAGATGTCTTCCTCCTTTAAAGGAATAAAGATATCATTTGGTTGAAATTCTGATAGAGGCTTAAATTTAGTACATCATACCTCTGGATAAGGTCCAAAGTATGAAAGTAATACTGGTAGAAGGACCAATCCATTCAGTACTCCAAGAACTGTCAGGATGGCTAACACTGCAAAAAAATACCTGCAATACAAAACAAAAAAGGGTCAAAATAGGCAAATTTAAATATTAACCTTTCTCTAATGTAAAGAAAAACAAAAAACAAAACATTTAATTTGCTGCCTAAAATATTTTTTATAAATACAATAAGACAAACATTAATCAAAGTGCATAATGCTGCCAAAAAAGTATCAGAATAGGTTTGCTCCAAGAAACAGAGACTAATAATGTAGGGGAACAAAGAAAAAACGTGCAAAGTCCTCAGGTGTTTACACGTAAGAGAGATAAACGCAGGTTCAATCACCACACATGCCCAAAATATTACTTTCACAAAGACACCAGCCACTCCCCAAACAAAACACCAATGTACAAACCCCCCACAGATAGCTGAGGCATGCACCGCAAAAAAAGAAAGGTACCTTGTGTGAGTCTAAGTCCTGCCAAAGAGGGTTAATCTTAAAAAGCCATAGAGAAAAAAGAAAGGGGTAGCATAATTAGCTAGAACTGGTTAATTCAAAAGCACAGGAATAAAGGGGGGGAAAGGAAGGAGTGGGGGTTTATTGGGGTGAGGGCAATCTCTCTTGGGTGTGTGGCGTATAAGCAAACATGGGAAAAACAAAGCAGTGAGGAATGTGAACGGAGGGGGTAAAGGAGGTTGAAGAGGGAGGACACTGGGGTATAAAATGGGGTGGGGGCACAAAAGGACAGGGGCCTCTCTTTCCTCTCTGGTTTTAAAATAAGAGAGAGTGGCAAACAAATGAAGTGAAGGGTATAGAATTTAAACAATTTAGTCTAGGATGAAGAGAAGGGAACCCTGAGAGCACCACCCTTCCTGGCCTCTCCCTCTCTTTTTATTTTTCACTCCATCTTCTTCACTCTCCTTCTTCCAGCTAAGCTCCTGTGAAATTCCCGGCCATTTCACAATCCCCTCAGTCCAATTAAATCCTTATGTATCAGGTAAGACCCCACACCATCTGCTCTAAACCTTGCCCTTGCTCAAAACCAGCCTCCTACATCAGAAAGAGCTCTCTTTTTTGCTAGCAACGTCAAAGGAGGCTGTCAAAAAACCCAATAACCACTAACCCATCTGTGCAATTTGGTCTTTTGAGTAAGGTCAGGTTACATCGGTTCCATTATGTTTTGTGTTCTATGCAGATTATACTGTTTTACTATATTTGTACCAGTAATCATTAGGAATTTAGAGTGAGATAAGTCCTGCCTGTATTTACAATATAGGTTATATTCTGAATATATGTCAAGGAACAAAGAAAAGTGTTTGGCATTAAAAATACTTTCCATAATTATCAAGTAATCAAGTTTCTGTTGACCTGCATTGGAACTGGGTAAAATGTGTGTAGTTTAGACATTCTTTTTGTCAACTTTTTCGCTCGCTCTAAAATAAGGAGGAAGGTACAATTCTCAATTTTTAACCACTTTACTGCACAGCCTCAAAATGTTCCTAGAGCCAGGATTAAGGTATTAAATCATACCTAGGCTCAACCTACTTTCATTTTGATTTTTTTTTAGGTAAATCACACAAATAGATATTTACAGTTTCAAAGCATCCATCTTTTACTTTATAACATATTACAGTAATTCCTTTCAATCAATCACCAGCACTGTCAAAAGCTCAGCTGGAATCACATTTACTTTACATATGCATGCCTGCAGACAAGATATTGGACAGAGAGTCCTGCTGTGTTGTTTATAGGGTACGCATTCACAGGGCTGATGGAGAAATTCAAGGAACAATATCTTTCAGCACAAGCAGAAAAATATGAGCAGGGCCTTGTTGTGATTGCTCCGTCTTGGAGCGCTGCTTTGTTTGCTCTGACAACAGCAGGCCCTTTAAATGGAGGCCCCAGACGGAGGCAGAAACCAAAGCGTAGCACAGTACTGGAGGTGAGGAGCGAAGCTCTGTTGGCCTCTGGAATTAGTGTGTATGTGTGGACGTGCAGGCGTGCCATCATTGACCCCGATGATTACAGGGTCAGGGAGCATAATGGTGTGTATGTGTGTCTATATGTAGGGAACTGTGTATAATTGTTGGCATGTACATACATGAGCAAAGTTTGTGTAATTGCAGATCAGATGGAGTTCACTGCTCCCAGTTCTTAAAGGAACAGGTCAACAAAATTATAGAGCGAAACGCAGAGTCCATTGTGTCCATTGAGAATGCACAGAATTAATTTCAATGCCCTCCCCCATCCCCACGGTCTTATTATAAAAAAACACAAACTCTGAGTTGTTCTTATCACCATAGTATTATTTCCTTGACAAAGCATCTTCCTCTTTTCCTCTAATTTTAAAATCCATCTTTTAATGGTTTTCTCTTTAACTTGTAGGTGTTGCAGACAATGATTAAGAAAAGGTTAACACAATAAGAGGGAAAGAGAGGATATTAGTATGAGTGGAGAAGAAAACATTTTTTTTGTGAAGCTTTAGGTGGATCCTTATTCATAAATTTATCCTTAGTTGGGAAAAAATCTGTAGAAACAAGAGCATGCGGTGGAGATACGGGTTTCAAACAAAAAATGATGGAGGAGGACAAAAAAAGAGAGGCTTTCATGCATGAATGGTGTCTCAGGTACATTCCTTCAACACACAGGTTTAGACATGGTCTTAACAAACTATGGACACCAGAGACCTGCCATACGATAACCTTTAAGTGCAATCCTACGACAAAGCTTTGTTTTCACACCTACCTGACGATGAAGTCAAACTCGGAGCCTGCCAGCATCAAGACGCCCAGTAACGTGGAGAAGGCGCCATCCAGCACCGGGGCGAACATGTGCTCCAGAGCCAAGACTGCCCGTTTGTGACGATCCCCTATGGCTGTCAGGAATGCCTAAAATAAAGACAAACACTTCATGGCTCTTTTTTTCAGGCAGGGTCATTAACTTGGGGAGGTAAAATCACTTGAAACATTAGGTTTTGACAATTATTGCTATGAAGTATTTGTCTTTAGATTAAATGTTTTTTTGACTATTAACACAAATTTTGCAATTGTCAAAAAATGTATTAAACATAAAACAGTGACGAATCTTCGCAGGTGTTTCTAGATAATCAAAATTCAATGATGAGCCCTACCCCCCAGTTCCATTGAATCTGGCGGTACCTACTGCCAAGTTTACCAGTGTTTCAGAGTGGATAGCTTCTGCTCTGCTGAACCCGGATCACGTCATGATCACATCATGGTGCCATAGTAATTTACTTGTAGGCGTTAAATAGAAGAATTGACAATTGAAGTATTTTTTGCCAGTACAAGTGTCTTGTGGGCCTGCACTTTACCTCATCACTGCATCTTGTTTTATTTGGATCTGTTATATGTGAGTTCAAATATTAGCTTTTCTTTTAGTTATTTTTTCAATGCAGTTGATTTACATATTGCCAATTCGCAACACATGTCTTCTCAAGGCACTTTACAGAGACAATTCAACCAGATCATACAGTCAGACTGGCTCAAAGTTTTCTATCTAAGGAAAACCAGCTGACTGCATCAATTCATTGACTCAAAGGCAATCCTTCACACCAAGCTAGATCCAATTCAATGCTCTTATTTATTCTGGCTGTTGATCAATATGAATAGAATATTTACACAATTTATTATATAACTATAGGTCCAGATAATGTGATAAAAAGTTTTCAAATGTAGTCTTTTAATTGTAAATTCGACAAAACTACTTCCTGCCTAATCGAGCCGCTCACCTCAACACTAATGTGGATCTGGTGCGGCAGGTGGCAAAAATAGAACAGATTTTGGAGAAGCGGCGAGTGCCGCCACATCTGGGACGCTTCAGAAACACACTGTCGTGCACCGTGTAGAACCACTCTGAGTTACCGGAGTTGCTGTGATCAGATGCAGAAGCCAGGCACAGCCATACCATGGTGCTTCTGCACCTCTTCTACATTCAGTGGAACAGAGGAGTGAGGCCTTAATCCTTGATGCTCAAAAAGAAAAAATATCCATCTAACATTTGCCAAAAAAATCTGATGATCTGCAAGCATTTGGGGAAAATGTTCTGAGAGCTGATAAGACAAATATTAAAGCTTTTCGAGAGATTTTTAGTCTATAACCTCTGCCAGAACATTCAACTTTTATAAATTGACAAACATAATGTCAGTTTAGGTGATCATGGCAAAATTATTGAGGGTCATTTTGATGTCCCAGGAGGTGGAGAAAATGGTTTAATGTATCAATCCAAATATAGAAGAAATTCCTGATTTTAAAAAACTTGCATGAGATATGTATCAGTTCATTGCCTCAATCTCAATTGTGCATTTATGTTACTGTTTTTAAAGGTTATCCTTCAAAAGCCTAATCAGAGACTGGGCTGACAAATTAAGACAAGAGTTTCTGCTAAATTCAACATTGTTTCATTTCCTTTTCCTGCTCAAATAAACTTAAAATAATAATAATAAAACACTACATAGTTATTATATAAAAAGAACAGCTTGGAAAACCTTCTGCTAAGTTATCTCCAGTATTAGAAAATGTCATCATCTTAAATTCAAAATTCAAAAACAAAAAAACAGAAATTACTTTTAGAATAAGAGATGAAAAGGGTAAGTTCTTAAAGGCCTTACCAGAGCCACATGGACGGTAAACTCCACTCCAATACCCACTGAGGCGATGAGAATAACGACAGGGACCGCACTCAGCTTGATTGCCATTAGTCCCATGAAGCCAAAAAGCTCCACAGTCATGAGAGAGAGAACAAGCACCTGGGGATGGAAATTAACTTTGCATTAGACATTTAGGTGGCTTTACTTACTGGAGACATTCAAAACAGGGTTAAAAGGATAAAAAGTTCCAAGTTTTGCCTAAGTTCTAATCATGTTTCCTTAATTTACTTATACCAAACTCAAAATTGTTTTTGTGACAAAAGTAACATGCACAGGTAATAATAATAAAGATGCTAAGATGATATCACTTATTGCATGTACACATAAAAAACAGAGTCACAGTACTAAATATAGGGTGGATAAAATATTATTATAACAGTCAATCCTCAACAGAGCTCTTATTTAACATTTTTTGACGTTTACACCTAACGGTTAACTGAATTTATGGCAGTTTTTTCTTCTGCAGGCGCAAGCTTTAAATTTAGAATGGACTATGAATGGACGGATGCTTACTGATAGTATCCAAACCTAGTAAATAACTCAATCAACTGTGTGGGAACATAGGTGCCTTTAAGAGTCTAAACGTTGACTCTTAAAGGCAACACAACATGAAAATATGAATTGTGTAAATATTATGAACAGCAACTCTACACGTGGGTAAAATGTGTGTAGGTTTTCCCAGGCAATGGAGGACAGGAGGGGAGTCGAGAGTAAATACCATTATCAGCTGACAGGTGTCAGGTTACATGGGGCCTAAATCTTTTGAAGAGGCCTAGTGTGGGCAGGGAATGTAGCTGTGTAAATTTGTGCCCTAAAGGTTTTTTTTTTTTTTTTCTTCATGGCTGCGGTACAATCTAAATTGTATTTCCATGAGAACAATTAGGTAACAAGTGGGCAAAAAACAAGAAAAACCTTACATCTCGATAAATTCAGAGCCTATTTTGAACCTTAAGATTATATTTCTGCAAGTTAGAAAAAATAATTCACCATGTAGGTTTGGATTCTTTATTTAAATATTGGAAAGTATTTTAATGCAGAGGGCTAATCATAACTGATAGCTTCTGTAAAGTTTATATGACTGCCTACACTCTGTATATGGCAATGCATTCTTAAGCTTCCAGCTTTTGCTTTTAATACTGCAGAGGTGGCTGTTTGGTCCTTGATGCCTCATAACAAGCCTTTTGATGTTGCTAGTAAAGCCTGATGGATGGACATGAACTCCTCTCCTTCCTTGTTTTAATGCCTCAGGTGGCCTAGCAACTGCCTGTTGTAAAATACAAGCCAGCAGAGAGAGAAGCCAGATATCTCTGTAAATGTGTTCTATGAGAATAACGTCCCTGTATGTTATACAGTCATACAAGTTATTACTGGACACCCTGTGTGCTTGTCTGTTTCCACAGAAACCCTGGTTGAGGCAATTAGTAAAAGACAGAAGTGCAAGATGGGAAGAAAAAAAAAATTCAAAGGCTGTCTTATGGTGGTCAGGAAGGGAGCTAGCTGCTGGAGAAACTTTGAGTACTCTCAGCATCCATTTCTGCACTGATGTCTGGGAGTGTCACAGTAGACTAAACACACTGGCCCTAACAAAACAGCAGAAGATAAACACTGGTGACAGGGGCAACGATAACACACAGCATCCCTGTCTTTCTGAGCCTTTTTATCATAACACTGTCCAAGCAGTGGTCCATTATTTATTGATTTTTTTTTCCTTTGGGGAGGGGAGGGGGGGATAACATATAGAAAAAGGAAACAAGATGCACAGGGCAACGGGTATAATGCCGGGAACTGGCTAATTTTCAGTTAGATCTCTCTGGCCAATAACTGCACGGTCTGAAACTAAAAAGATTCAATTTTTTTTTTTTTTTTAAATCTGTGTGACGGACAGACAGACAGACAGACAGACAGACAGATAGATAGATAGATAGATAGATAGATCTCACAATGGAAAAAAATTCTCTAAAGTATACACAGTGGATCCAGATATATATACAGTGGATGGGGAAAAAAATAAAGAAGAAGAAATGCGGAAGATATTACTCAATGTACAAGACTCAGAATACCTTACTTTCTGTAGTTATTAGGTGTTAAACATATTGAGTCAGAAGACATGCAGAGATGATAAATGTTAAATGATATCTGCACCTCATTCAGGCTATATATGAGCAACAAAACACTGTTTTGCAGCTTTTGCACACATCCCTGTTCCAACACAATGGAAACAAAATACTAAATTACATCCTTGTCTATAAGAAAGTTTTGCAAAGGCCTGGCCACTGAACATTTGTTTGAAGCAAGGATACATTCAAAAACTCTATGATAGTGAATATCAAGGTCCCACGTTGCCTTACTCTGGGGTACAGCCTTCTCGCTCTAACCAAATTGCTTTCTGGTTCTTCTGTCGTTACATATGCTGAATTTTTAAATCTTAGCACCCTTTTGGGAATGATCCTCTAAAGTCAGAGGTTAACAAACTTTACAAACGAAGGAGCAATTTTGCTTCAATGAACCTCTAAAATTAAATATACCTGGCACTGGATGACCTCATTGATTCTTAGAGAGAAAAAGATGTTTTGTCATAGTACAAACGCATACAATGTAATTTCTTTTTTCATTATTGTGAAATTGTGGAAACACAATTATTTCTATTTGTAATTGTAGGTTTTTGAGAAATAAAAAATGTAGATATTCTAAGGAGGCAAAACAAATCCTGTTCTTAAGCAACAAGGCCAGTTGAATAATTTCTTTGCATGGAAAATATAGAATTATTTAGAATATAAGGACCATCATCAAAAAATTATGTACAAGTGCTATTAAGTTACTGTATTTCTCTACAGGCATTAGATCTGATGAGCTAAAATTAGCCTTTCCTATATTCTATTTATACAACATGAGGGTTCATTTCTAGATCTAGGTAGTCTGAAGATGTCGAATGTTGCTGATTAGGGATCCTTGTTTAAGGGAATAAGCGCAACAATAGTGTTTTAGTAAAAGCAGATGCACTATATTCTCATTATTATGTTTTGGTTTAAAATAATAAACCCCTCTTTTTCAGAGAATACTATACCAATACAAATTATCAACCAACACTCACAGCATGAAGGCTATCAAAAATATATATATACGTATATTAATCATAGTTCTTATAGGAAAATCTAAATTAGCAAAAAATTGTCTAGAGAATTTTAAAAGTCTCAGAAAATCTGACTGGTAGATTAAAAAAAAAATATGTATTTTTGTTGTATGTTGTATTTTTGTTATCAACACTCACTATGATGCCAGCGGTCCACGGGTTGAGCAGGAACAGAGCGCAGATCAGAAAGGTGCAGGCAAGTACAACACTAATGGAAAGGAGAAGCCAGTGGCGCAGGCTGACATACTGCTCCCAGAAGAGGAAAGGGTAGCCGTTGGGGTAGGAGGGCAGGCCTTGTCGGCTGTAGTTGTTGCAGATTGCCCGCACGCTCTCGATGGCCTCCACAAACTGTGGGGTCTCCCGGAGCCCGTTGAGGTAGAAGGGGAACTGTGCGTATTCGATGGGCTCGGCAGCAGGAACTGAATGGAAAAGAAGTGGAAAAAAGATTTTGTTAACTCTATACACTTGTTTAAAGATCAGGGGTTAAATTAAGTCATAACCACAATTCTCCTTGCACCAGATTTTCACTCTGGAAGACACAGGTTTCAAGACTGATTATATTGCAACCTTTGAGAAACTAACTTCTGAAGAATCAGTTAAAAGCAACAATCGGAACAAAAAGTTCTGATTACCGATTAATCAATCTGCAGTAATAATCTAGAATGCTCCGTCTAAACCAGCAATACTGTGATCCACCTACTCACTTTGTTTAAGGAGAAATTGAACCTGTAGGCAAATGTGCAGTGTGCATGTGGGGGTGGGTTGCAGAGATACGTTAAACAGAGCTCCATTGACTCGGACCTGGCCAGCCTTAGAACAAGACTGCCTAATGAGGGCCTATCAGTTCCAGACACAGCAGACTGTCAGAACTAAGGTTGATTCACAGTAATTACAATGTCAGGATCATTGCCATTACCACGCCCTAAACACAGCACCACCACATAAGGAAAAATATCAATGCACAAACACGTATAGCTGCTTGTCACTTGCCAATGAAGTCATACTTGGAGGTGAAAAAAGGTGTTATTTAGATTCATGCTGTCAACTCTTTGCCACATGTGGCAGCTTGAGGATTGCTCAGCAACTCCATGTCTACATTCAGTGCCATGCAAAAGCATGGAAACATCTATAATACATCACGTTCCAATTACAAAGGCAGTCTATGTATATTTTTTCATTAAAACTGTAAAGTGGGGAAAAAAAGCCATTTTAATTTTCATAAATTCGACTTCAAAAACTATGGGACATAATTAGACAATCAATACCTCAACAGCATATGTGCAAAACCCTCACAAGCTGTGTTTCCATTACAAATGTCTAAAACTATGTCTATATTGTGCTAAATAAAAAAAAAAAGAAAAGTTTTGCAATTGTGGTATTTCCATTAAACAACAAATACAATTTAAATTGCACATGAATACATGTGTTTTCAGGACACTCTCAAAACACCTTGGCATCATTAGTTGTAAACACATCCGTGGCTCTAGTGGGCGCCATCATCCTCCAAATACTCTCAGTCTCCTTCTTCTTCGACTTTTTACAAGGCAGTAAAGTCCAGTTTTACACGTGACTAATTTGATGCAAAAAAAAAGTATTTACCTTACAGTTTTGTGAAATATGCTAATTTCAATATGATTGAAAAAAATCACCTCATCAAAGCGTAAAAACTTTTTTTAATAATAAAAAAAAGTTTATTTTTAATTGCAGTATTTCCATTTAGCAAATTTGATAGTTATTGGAAACACATGTTCTGTTGCAGATAAACATTGCCTACAAACACATTATCTCTCAGCGAAAACTTGTGTTCTGCTAAATTAATATGGGAATAAGAAAGTAAGAAAGAAAACTCTAAATGCAGAGTATTCTTGGTAGAAAACCTGTATGATGCAGAGAACTCCTCAAGAATGGAATAAAAGTTCACCTTCTAGTAGTAAAGGAGCAGCCAGAGCTACATGAATGGTTGAGATCAAATCTTATCAATTTGGTAAAATGTGCCAAAGTCCTCATCTTACCCATATTGCTCACTTATCACAAACTACTTTCACAAATTGCCAATCTGTGACAAGAGTTGAAATTATAATAGCAGCAAAAAATACAAAACACTGAAAAAATGACTTGGCAGCATAAATCTTCCCTAACGCAACATAGTAAAGAACTTCACTCTGCTTTTCCAATTGCATTACACAAGTTATAAACGTCAAACAACTTACCCAGTTGTTCATCCAAACTAGACTTTATCTCAACTCAAATAAACGTTAAGTTTGAGGTGGACAGTCTATTTGTGGTATAGGAATGAGAGTCGAGATTAGGGTCAGCAAGTTTCACTAAAGTGTGTGTGAGTGTGCTTGCAAGCCCAAGGGTAGTCAGGATTATACCATTAAACCACAGGCACTACACTGAGTCGTGTCCCAGCCGCCAGCTTTGCAACCTGAGCTCGCATAAGTGCACAGTCTGCACTGGTCCGGCAAAGTCTATTACCTCATTTTGAGCTTAGAGGCGGACACAAAGCAATAAGTTAGACCGCAAGAGGTAAGCAAAACTCAGCCTGCGGTGGCCGTGGGACGGAACCAGTAAAAAAAGTCAGGCTGAGCCCACGTTGTGTTGCATTGAAAAGCCTCCCTACATGTTGACTTACTGCTTAGACGCGTCTCTGGCATGGAGTCAGTCCGGTCGTGGAGCCACTCAGGAGGGTGTGGACGGATGTTGGCCTGTGAGGCGGCATACGCCACGGGATCATTGCTGACCCAAGCGGTTAGGTAGATGTAAAAAGCCCCAGGGTTGATGATCCCATCAGCATCCACGAGTCTCTGTCGAGTCAACTGCAAAAACCCGCAGAAAGCATGGATTAATGACAGCAACCATTACCAATCTGCAATCTTTAGAGAAAGACGTCTGCTGAAGTCCTTCATTAGATCAGAACTCAACTGGAATACTTAGAAAACTGGAAAAAAAGAGATTTTAACATTAAATAAAGATGGTGGTGCTTTGCAGCTGTTTTGCAGTGGTTCTGTGGAAATCAACCATGTTTTACGATAACATTCTACAGGTGAGCCGACCACAGAAATGTTTCCTTTTACACATGGATGAGTGCAAGAGAACGAAACACCATTCAAAGCTGGAGGCAAACATTACCTCCGCTCTCTCCTTTTCCGACCAAAGAAAAGTCAACAAGTCAAACACTGGTTACCTTCTCCAAAAATTCCTGTACTACTGATCACAGCTTCCCAGAATTATCATGCCACATTAAAAGATGGAAAATGTTGAATCAGCTTCTCCCTATAAATACAGCAGATACTGGCTGGCCTACCTCAGGCCATATGTCCTGACCGCTTTGAATAAACTTCTCAAAGTAGCTACTAGACGGCACTCTTATGCCGAGAGGTTCTGGCAACTAAAGAAGAAACAAACCTAACTGGACTAAACGTGTAAGGATTCCTGTATTTAACACAGAAACAAATAAATATGTTTTTACTGCAATCTGCTTTTTTATATTCAAGATTCTTTTATATAAACCAATCCTTGTTTTTCATTAGACATGTTCAGTGTTTTGCCATAGAGTGTGATACTTTTGCACCCTCTCAACCACAATAGGATACAGTAATTTTAATATCAAATCCCTTACTGTGATGTTGTCATTCCTTTAAACACCTCCCATATTTTCTGTAAGTCTTGATTGAATTCTTTTTAAATTGATAAATGTCTTCAAGAAGACAAAGTCTAACATATTTATAAACCCCAAACCATGTATAAGTAAAATGTATGTTTTTGGCTGGATTTTTAGCGAAGCTGCAGAGTCCAATGATCTAAGCAAAGTAAGATTCCCAGTTTCTTTGAGGCAGTGAATGAAAGGCTGCGTCTCCTTTTGTTTTAGCTTAGAATTGGCATTATCAGTAGGCGCTGATCACAGGACCTCAGGGACCTCCTGGGAATATATGGATGCACCAGGGCCCTAATATAAACCCATACTTGCCCTTAAATAGCTCCCTAAGTCAGAACAAGAAGTCTGAAATGCACTTTACTACTGTATAAGCTGGGGAAACACATGTAGGTGGTGTGTGTGGATGTTCAAATAAAATATATTTGGCTCATAGAAGCTGCAGCTTGGACTAAAACATCTGTCTGTAACAATTTTCGATTAAAGAAACTTATACTGAAACCTATATTTCAGTTTGAATTATAATTAGTCGTAGAAACAGAATTTTTGTTAATTTTGAGTGTAAATTACTGATGTGTTCGGTTTAACTGGTGCATTAATCGTCCTCCTTTTTTGGTATCTTTAAAATGTTTTTCTTTTGTTAAACATAGACCTACAGAGCTACTAGCAAATACTTTTACTAAAAAAATAATTGTCAATGTCTTAAACAATTAAAAAGAAAATGGAGATTTCTGTATTCTTCTTCATTTGCTAAAGATCCCCAAAAACTTTCATGATTAGCACTAAATCTGGCTGAAGGAGGGTTATTGTTGTATTTTATAAATCACTGATTTTCCACAGTAAGAAAGTGAAGCCATTGTATTTGATGGTGTTAACATGGTAGCCCAAATGTAAATCGGTTTAACGTTTTAAACATTTCAGACTCTATCTGTTGCTTGAATCGTAACAATTTCCAAACAATAGTTTGTTGCCCTTGTTCAAATTAGATAGTTTACGCTTTTGGTTATGCAAACGTTAAAAGAGGGATGTTTGTAAAGCTGCACCCAGATTGTTAACTGTGATATCAAAAAATATCCTGATACACAATTACTGGTCACATCTGGGACTTCTTGTAATGCTTCTCTGTGGAGGAAGCCATAAAACCTGGTATTTATCCCCAACTAACCAGAAATACAAGAAGTAATTTTAATTTGCTCGCTTGTTGTAGTTTTATTGTGGTGATTTCAGCTTTAATTTTACTTAAGTAGCTGTATTGAGTGTATGAAATGCTGTCTAACTGAAGATTGCTAATGTGTGGCCTAACATGGCTACCTCCTGAGAGGTAAAACCATTACTGTACCGTTCCGCCACTCTGCCTTCTAGGAACCATAAATCTATCTTTCACAGAGGCTGGGAGAGTTTTTAGAAGCTGAGCTGGACTCACGGCGTTACATACATGAAGAAAGGATTGAAAGATTTTTTTTTCTCCTCCTCCACTTTTTGTGTGTGGGGGGGTTGGGGGGGTCTAGCAAGAAAAAAAAAAAACCTGACTTAGTGTAACAATAAAAAAATTGGCTGGAGTCCCTAGGCGCGTCTGTGTGCAGTTAACCTGGTTGTTAACACTGAAGGAAATGCCACCCAGCAAATGGAGTAGAGCTATAAAAATAACACAACATCTGTATAAATGTTGCTCACACTTGGTTCTCCTGACCCCTATGGGTACCCAGAATGCCTGGCGCCACAGATTCAACCGGCCCTAAAAAGAAAAGAGCTCTTGATAGTGTTAGCTTGGCCTTTTTCTTCAGACTTTCATTGTTTCCACCTCCTCCTTGACTCTCTGCTCACCTCCATCTGCATTCAGTCACTGAAAGGTCACCTTTGTGTCGCTTTTTAACTCAAACTCACGAGGAATTAATATCCATCAGGTAAGAGGAGAGAAATAATAATGATATAAATTCTTCTTCTAGGATTTTTCACATGGAACATTCAAAATATTACTTCAGTAAAAAAATGTTGACACTAAAAACAGAAAAACAAAACTACAATGAAATGCATACACACAACTGGCCTTAAAGCATTGTGTTTGAGCTTGGCTGATTGAAGGAAAGGACTAAAGAGAAATACAGAGTGCAGGATTTTGTGTAGGTAAGTCAGAGAGAGGGAGCAAGAGCTGAAATAAGAATCTGGATTGAATTTAATGTCAGAACAGGCAACAACTGTATGTCTTCAAGCTGTCATGGGAAGCCCAGTCAACTTTACTTGTGGCCCTTTGCGCCTTAGAGCGAGTATTCTTTCCTTAAAGACAGAGGAAGTGATGTGAAATGCTTTTACACTAAGGCTGTTCCTGCCTCCTGTCAGAAAATGCAAGTCCACTTTAAGCCAAATGCAACTGAATTAAACTGACAACACTCTTCAGTGTGGAAAACGTAACTGAATGTCCACTAACAGTTTAATTTTGTTATAAATAGATAATGTGAAGGCTAGAAATGATCCTTTTGAGCTTTTATCTTAAGTGTGTCACAAAATATCCCGGATTCTGAAATGTTTGTCTAGTTCATTCCTCTGGATGATACACATAAAGTACATAAATGTGTTAGCAACACAGAAATAAGAAAGACCTACTATACAGTGAATGCTCTTTGACACCCAGTGGGACCCCTCTTATGTAACTAATAGGCAACTGGTCCAAACAAAAACAAAACTTAAAAAAATATTTCAGTTGATTACAACAGATCAGAAATGGCTAAAATAAGTAGTAGGCCAAAGTTCTCCAAAAACAGGTTGAGCCTAAAGGGCTGGTTATACCCCCGCAGCAGTGTGTCGCAGTGAGCTTGTTGCAGGTGTGACGCTGCAACAAGCTCACTGTTATTCCACACCACAACACAAGAGGGACAATCACGAACTAGCTGTGGGTCTAGATATGGCCGAGGCGGTGAAGAAGGGGAAAAACGCAAGGGGCAAGTTTGTGTGACAATGCAGGGACATGAGGGTGAAATAGAGCGGGGATCCTGGGGGATAAAGGGTCCCAGTGTTCTCGCGCACCTCGCTCTTCTAGCTGGTCCATCTTCACGAGTCGTTTTCCACAATGGCGGTCATACAAACAAAACAAGCTGGTAAGGTACCAAAAACAGGAAATACGCATAGTGTAGAGCAGATGAAGAATTGACCAATCAGAGGTCTCCTTTCTCTCCTCCCTGGAACGCCATCTGCGGTACTGTCTGCAGTCACCTACAATTTGAGGGAGTTGCACCAGAGTGTCTGTAGTAGGGGTGGCATACCTGCGTTAACCGCAACACACACGCAGACGACCTGGTTTCTGAGCATAAAACGCTCTTAAGGCCCAAGCATTCTGCTAATAGGCCTTTCTTGACCCAGGATACTGCAGTGTTGTCGAGATTTCATAAAAAATCTGCTCAGCGTTAAATGAAGAATAGATAGTTTTACGAGTCCTGGCCAAGAATTATGTTTTTGTATTTCTTTGGTTCCATTTTTCCATGTTCTATTCTCTTGCCCAAGAATGCAGCTATAAATCTATATCTCTTCCCCTCTAAGCTTTAAAAAGCATACCTACACAATCCTCCATTCTCTTGTTGAAGTTGTGCTAATTAGATCTCAGATCCATATCACAATCCATGCACAATCTTATCATCGGCGCATTGGTATCTCCCTGTTGACATACACCAGACATGATGTGATCATTTGCAAAATTCATTTCTGGACCTCCTTCTAAGATCTAAGCTGCTGCCTGGGTTAACTTCAGTCCTAGTTGGATAAAAAAATTTCCCACAATGCCAGACTGGAGACAAGTCACGCTTCCACAACTGAACTGGAAATTGTTGAATGATTAAGATAAAATCACTTGCTCCATATGTTTACTTTCTTACATTTGAGTCAAGGGTGAGGTGCAAATTTCAACTAAGTGCTGCGTAAGCAAAAACAGCGCAATGACCTTATTGTTGTTCTGCCAGCACTAATAATGAAATACAGCGGGCGCTAAACTCAGACCACCAGACAGCAGAACCCAGCCTCTCTGTCCGACTGGTGTGCAAAGGCTTTGAAAACAGAGGGAGCTCATAACACACAAGTGGGGAGTGGTTCACTATTCACGGATCTCACACATGGAGAAACTGAGAAATGATTCAAATGCAGAGTTGCTGTTCGGAGGCAGACCAAATCTCCAGTGAGAGTTTTACATTCCTGGGCTAAGAAAGAACATTAAAGTAGAGAGAGAAAAAAAAATCTTACAGCGGGGTGTGTCTCCTCTAGAGCTAATTACATAACACATTAAAGAAAATAGATATATGCATTTAAGGATATGCTTGGAAATATTTGAAGGCTCTAAAATGTTCTGAGCTGATAACGGATAGGATTAAAACCTAATTGGATGAACAATAGGATGTGATATAACTGTTCAAATCATCACTGATCACATCACAATGGAACTAATTTCAACACTGTTTGTCCGATTGTTAAGCCTGGATACAATCGGCTTCTTTATCAGAGTGGAGGATGCAATGGCGGTCTAATTGCCTCCTGTGAAGTCAGCAGTCTTCTCCAGGGTGATGTAAGCCAAGGGGACCGATTCAGATCCTCAGAAGCCACGATTCTATACATTTTATCAATCTTTTGTCCAACCATGTGAGGTTAATCATGAATGAAATGCTGGTGAGGGAATTCAGACATTTAAAGCATGTAAGCATGTAAGAATAGTCAGTCTGGAAGATTTGAGTTCCCAACAGAAAATAACCGTTAAATATCCTTTTTTTGTTTTGCTTGTTTAATATTCTGCTTTTTTTATTTAAACTGAATTTAGGGTTCTCATCAGCTCTACACATAATATTTTTTTTTATTTCTTTTGGGATTTATAAACATTTTTTTACTGAATTGAAAAAAATGGCTGAATTACACACTTAAGTATTGTACTGCGGGCTTAAACAATAAGTCCTCTATTTGAAAATAATTAATATAAATATACTGGTTACAATCTTGCCGGAAATATTTATATTTTGCTTGAAATATAAATAGTGCACCTATTTTCATAATGAAGATTGTATCACAATTATTGAGGTGACAAACCAGAATGGGCTTGAATCCCCCCACACACCTGGCTCTTGTTGATGGGCTTGTCCCTGCGTCCTGTCTGCACCAACAGTTTGTAAGCCAAGACGCCATCATCAGAACCATTCTTGTAGCTGTTGACGGTGATCCGGCCGGCCTTCCAGTCCTCGTCAAAAGCCTTCTGGAGTCCTGTGGGGAAACCGCAGATTGGTTAGATTAGGATGTTTTAAAAGGTTACACACTCTGTTATCCTCAGCCTCCTTTTACGAGTCAATGGCAAAGTATACGTTAACAGGAAAATGGAACACGTAATAACCCGGCATGATAAAACAGAATGTGACACAACTCTGCAACTTAACCTTAACCTCCGTAATAAGCATCATTGATTTTGCATAACTCCATTTCCAACCACAAATCCTGACTTCAAAAGCCTGAAATCTGTGTGGTTTTAATTCACAGAAATTGTTGGGCGACATATCAGCAACATGTGCCTCCTTTTCTATACTTTCTCCCTAATCCATATGTGTACCACTCCTCTCCCGTCTGCTCTTCCCCCCTCAAGGCCCATGCTGTGGTCCGTCTGTGGGAGATGTTGTTTTGGGTATCTTTCCTTGGCCTGTCTGGCTCCAATTTGTCCCACCATTGCGGAAAGGAAAATCAGACACAGCTCTCCTCTGTGTGGTTCTCCAGTTCATACACACACTCCCACAGGATGCCATCGCATATTTCTTTTCAGAATACATGTTGGTGTATTTCTTGTTTTTTATCATTTACTTTGATCTTTTTGAAAGACTAAATAAGAGTTTAGTGTTTATATTAATCTGGGTTTATTTCCCAATATTTCCTTTTGTTTTTTATTTTTTTTCCTAAGAGTGAAACTTCTGGAGAGCTTCGTTCTTTTCAACTAATTTAAAAGAGGGATGGATGGATGGATGGATGGATGGATGGATG